AAAAATTGAACCCAATATTTTTTTAATATCAATCGAATAATTCTCTATTTACTAACAAACGGTGAAAGTACAAAATTAAAAGATTTAAAACGAAAATCTATATAACGATAGTGTAATGGTAGTAAATTTCGATTTCATTTCATTTTACTTTAACTGTTCCGAAGAGAGCACCTAATTACCTACAATGCATATACGTATTAATTTTATAATTGAGGAACGCATTCGCCTTGTACACCTTTACAAGAAATCTCGTTGAATTGTAATTTAAAAAATAATCTAGTCGAGGTTCATCAATTAAAAAGGGCTTAAATATTAATAACCAGTTATTTTAATTTGTTTTTTTTTTATACGGCCAAGTTCTTGTATGATTTCTTTTACCCCAGAATAAAGACTTTCTCATGTCCTGCCTAGTCAAAATTGTAAACATTACTCACTTGAGGGCATCTTGAATCTCTTATATATATATATATATATATATATATATATATATTTAGCTCTCAAAGCACAGCATCAAGTCCGTCCTAGACATGAAGTATGTGTGGCCAAAATGAAACCTTTAAATACAGTATTAATGGAGGCATTGGTTTAAGTAGGCATTGAACTCTGCACCCGCACCGGGTGATACTTTGGTAAAACTCCCTAAAGAATTGGATGCCGAGCTCGTCAAGGCCGACCTTCTCGAACAAGGCCTACCGGTTAACTCCGTACACCGCATGCACACAGGCCGCGGAAGGGAGCCATATAATATGGTTCTCGTCGCCCTCCAGCCTACCCCCGAGGGTAAGCAAATATTCAACATCCGAACGGTCTGTAGCCTTTCCGGAATCGCAGTCGAAACCCCACACAAGAAAGGCANTTGAGTTTTCTCATTTTGGCGCCAATACATTGTACAATATTTTGCGATATTAAAATGGAGTGGGGTGATAAAGAGAACCGAATCGCTGTGATTGCATTACACAAAGTAGGTATGGAGCCAAATGCAATTTTTAAAACTCTCCATACGCTTGGTATTAGTAAAATGTTTGTGTACCGGGCTATTAATAGGTGCAATGAAACTTCCTCTGTTTGTGACAGAAAAAGATCTGGCCGTCCACGTAGTATTCGGACGAAAAATGTGGTCAAAGCAGTAAGGGAAAGAATTCGAAGAAATCCTGTCCGAAACCAAAAGATTTTTATCTCGAGAGATGAAGATAGCACCTAGAACCATGTCGCATATTTTAAAAGATGACTTAGGACTTGCAGCCTATAAGAGACGTACTGGTCATTTCTTAATTGATAATTTAAAAGTGAATAGGGTGGTAAAATCGAAACAACTACTGAAGCGGTACGCAAAGGGAGGTCATAGAAAATTTTTGTTTACGGATGAGAAAGATTTTACAATTGAGCAACATTTTAACAAACAAAACGACCGTATTTATGCTCAAAGCTCTAAGGAGGCTTCCCAATTAGTCGACAGAGTGCAACGTGGGCACTATCCGACTTCAGTGATGGTTTGGTGGGGTATTAGCTATGAAGGAGTGACTAGGCCATACTTTTGTGAAAAAGGTATCAAAACATCGGCACAAGTGTATCAAGATACATTCTTGAGAAGGTAATGAAGCCACTTAACAACACCATGTTCAATAATCAAGAATGGTCCTTCCAGCAAGACTCGGCGCCAGGTCATAAAGCTCGGTCTACGCAGTCTTGGTTGGAAACGAACGTTTCGGACTTCATCAGAGCTGAAGACTGGCCGTCGTCTAGTCCCGATCTTAATCTGCTGGATTATGGATTATGGTCAGTTTTAGAGAGTACGGCTTGCTCTAAACGCCATGATAATTTGGAGTCCCTAAAACAATCCGTACGATTGGCAGTGAAAATTTTTCCCATGGACAACTGGCCTCAACGTTTAAAGGACTGTATTGCAGCCAATGGAAACCACTTCGAATAAGCTTATATTTATGTATTAAACTAACATACTGTAAAAGTAATAAATATTATTTGCAATAGAATTGTCACAGTATTTCTGGCAAGACTAGGTATATATAAATGAATTGCTGTTCGTTAGTCTCGCTAAAACTCAAGAACGGCTGGACCGATTTGGCTAATTTTGGTCTTGAATTATTTGCCGAAGTCCAGAAAAGGTTCAAAAGGTAGATAAATATGAAAATTCTCGGAATTAAATAAAGTTTAGGTCTTTTATTTATCGATTGAGGCACTACGAAGTCTGCAGGGTCAGCTAGTTAATTAATAATTTTCTGTTTAACTGATAATTCCAGAAATTCCATCCAATCCATTATTTGTGACTTATAATTCTGGCATTTTTGGTAACTTGTGAGTCCGCACGGGTAGGTACCACCACCCCGCCTATTTCTGCCGTGAAGCAGCAATGCGTTTCGGTTTGAAGGGTGGGGTAGCCGTTGTAAGTGCCATACTTTTGTGTGTGTGTGTGTGTGTTGCCGTGTTGTTTAGAACTTATATCTCAAGGTGAGTAGCGCATTTATGTAGTAGATTTCTATGGGCTCCAGTGACCACAGGGGGGCTGTGAGCTCGTCCACCCATATAAGAAAAAAAATTTTAGTAAAAAACTCTTTTCCGAATGCTATTACGATCTCTCAACAACGTTGAAGATCTACGAACACCGGTGACTTCGGGACTCGCCAGTAAAACAACTCTTATTAAAAATTCAAAACTAAACAATCGATCTAACGAAAATAAATAATTGCACTCAAATAAATAAACGTTCACTCTTGCAATCATAGCGGTTGAAAGACGTCTACTCGAGGATATACAAGTGTTAACGAAATCCAGTATCGGGAATGCACTGACGTCATCCGAATCACTAGAGGAACAAAATCTGTTACTTCTCAAACAATACCTGTCAGTATAATCAAATGAATAATGTTTTACAACAAAAATACAGAAACACATATTAACAAAGAAGCCGTTTAAAATTGCAAGAGCTGTAGTATCTAAGTATATAGCAAATCTAAACGTGTGGTTTGTTTGTCGCTGAAGATCGTGGTTAAAGATTTTTCACATACGTTTTTTTTATGAAGTTTAAACTAGACATAGTATTATTTGAAGTCGTCGTGGCCTAAAGTATAAGATTCTCTAAAGAAAGTCAAGCGTTTTTCTTCAGTATTTTATTTCAAAGCAAATTAGTATATAATATCCCTACGTGGGGATGAACCCATGATGCTTATAAGTCCCGATAAGTCATAAATTTTTAGTTGTGAGCCAATAAAAAACTCATATTTAATATTAGTAACAGATTTTTGTTTGTGAATTTAAAGAAATCTCCACGCATCTGACACGATCAAATATGTACATAATTTGAAAATTCAATACGTGTCAAACACAATGGTGTGGGAACTCAAGGATAGCGAGGGGCCCTCCGTTGTTTGTGAGGGCCCTAAAATACGGAATCTAAAATTGTAGTTGACGTGTGGTGTAAGTGAGAAGCGGCGATTTTTCAGATTTTTCTTACTGGTGTAGAACGTCTTGTGAGTCCGCACGGGTAGGTACCAACCATCCTGCCTACTTCTGCCGTGAAGCAGTAATTCGTTTCGGTTGGAAGGGTGGGGCAACCGTTGTAGCTATACTATGGGTGGCGGCATTTACGTTGTAGATGTCTATGGGCTCCGGTAACCACTTAACACCGGAGCGCTGTGAGCTCGTCTACCCATATAAGCAATATAAAAAAAGAATGGCTGTACAATAAATCCACTGATTGGTACTTCTTAACTTAATAACAGTCCAGTGAACTGCATACTGTAGTATACTGTACAAGCCGATTGGGGTCACGAGTTAGTGTACAACAGAACTGCGACCGTGACTGTGACATACATCCGCTCCTGCCTCGTTCTATGTGCTCTAATTTCATGGACTTCTGAGTTAGATTGCGCTATATGCCGGCTGGGACTTGTAGACCAATTATTAGAAAAATCCCGAGAAATTACGTTTTTTTTTCTGTCTTTAGTAGTTATTAATCAATTGGAATCAGGATACTATAAAAACTCGTTTGGACAAAAGATAATGGCATTTTTTTTGCATAAGGATAGGTATCGGTGTCAATGATGTCAATATTAATGTCGATCTCAATAATTATGTTCGAAGAAGCTCAGAATAATCGAAATACATACGAGTACGTGAACAATATTAAAAGATGAACGTTGTTTCACGAACAGCAAACTATATGGGAAACGTCACAAAAACGAAGTGAACACGTTGCGCTCAGACGATTTCAGCCTCAATGAGCCAAATATCATCAATCATTCAAGCTGATAAATTAATTGTCCTTTTAGTTATTAAATTTCCATATAAGTTTACTTAACTACCTATTATTTACCAAATATTTACATGTTTTCTTCGGATTAAAATCAGTTATCAATATTCTAATAACATCTACGTATCACGAAAATTAAAGTAATTCAATTCATCTTATTTTTAAAGATCTTATGAAAGTGGTCCAAATCGTTCTATCCCTGGTACTGCTGTTTTCCCGGAATAGTATCTACCTAAGAATTATAAAAAATACAATCTTTAATCGATTTTGAATTTTGAACATCACAAACTGCTTTCGCTTATGACTTACGATACAAAATAAACTAAAATATTATTAAGAAAACCTATTGTATCGATACCGCGAAAACCAATAAGCTTTATGTTTCACATTCAGCGCGGCATTGTATTACGCTATGTTTGCTTTTATTGTCTGGATCCTTTCCAAGGTCTCGGATAAGGTGACATTTTCGAACACAAACACATTTCGTCATTCGATATTTATTAACTATTGGCAAAGGAAACTTCGAATTTTGGATGTTTTTGAAATGTTTTTTTTTTATTACCTTTGTAGGTAGACGAGCACACAGCCCACCTGATGGTGAGTGGTTACGGTCGCCCATGGACTTCAGCAATGCCAGCAATGGGCAGACCCAAGCTGCTGCCTACCGAAAATATTTTAATGGTACTTGATAATTTCATACACGTAAGAATGAAATATTGATTTGTCTTTTCAGATGGGCGCCACGTCTCTGCATAGAGCCTCGCCACTACATCTGCAAAACGAAACTCCTCAAAATGCCCAAATCCAAAGTGAAGGACATCCGCCGCCGCTGGCAGAGAATGGGCAAGATCAACGAAATCGCGGCCCAGAGCGTCAGCCGCGAGGTCAACGACCCTATGATGGTTAATGATATGAGGGTTAACCCAGTTGTGAGCCCCAAGTCGTATGACTTGCAACCGACCAACGGTAGGAACGGACCGAAACGCAATAGGAACAGAATCAACTCGACGCGCAAATCGAAATCAAATGGTCACGGAATCAATGAGCTGCGGAGGAGGCGACCCGTCCGGAGACGGCTCAAGAGACCATTCCCAGGGTAAGCATTGGCATTATTATTGTTTTTTTTTTATGATTGAAGGATTACTGGTGGCCCCGAGGCCTTTCCAGTATCACCAGGACAGGTGGGCGAGCAAAGGCTCAGCCAGGAGGGGTGGGATTTGCTAACAGCTACCCGAGCGCCTCCGAAGAGACCTGACAGCTCAAGAGTAGCTGCTTCGCGAATGAATCTACTACCGGATCGGAATCGCGACCCGCTGAGAAGATCCGGCGAGAAACTCAGCGAGCTGATTCATGGGTTAGGTTGCACGGCGAACTCTTTGTCGAGTTCGACGAGTACGGTTACCGAGGTCGCTAAGCCTGCTCCTAGTGTTAGAGCTGAAGGCGTCTAATGCAAAGGTTATCGACGGTGTCGACGGTGACTGGCTCCTGCGTGATCAGGATTCGGGGAATTATTACTGTTAAACATCCATCAAGAATACACGGATTTCAGCTCGGAATTTCGCAATTCGGTAATCGTAAATTTGGCACAAGAAGCCGGCCAGTGGCACGCGCCAAGCGTAATAACGGACCAAACATTTCTTTACGATGCCATTAACGTTTAGAATTTTCAATAACTCGAGGAAACTTTTCCCATTGCAAGATCTTTAGGGTGATACATTTCTTGCGCGGCTCAATTTACTACTTCGAACTAAACACATTAAGTGGATCTTTATTGCGATATACATCAATGTAATGACATTACAGTCTCCCTCGTAATATTCGTAAGTAATTGAAGATTCTGGAACAGGATGTTTGTTGCTTTACTCGAAATAAAAATAATTTACAGACAGTAAGATAATACAGATCAGAAATAGAAGAGAAAAGAGATAAATCATATTTGATTAAGAGACTTTACATAATAGTGGTAGGATTAGTTCTTAGAACGCATGGGTAATTAAATGCCTATGTCAGTCGCAAAGTAGTCATACGTTTCGATTTGAAGGTTGGGCTAGTCATTATATTGTACAATTGAGATATCTCAAAGTGTGTGATGGCACTCAGACTTCTGTGTCTACGGGTTCCGTATTCCATTTAACACTAAGTGACCCCTGAGTTTGTTCACAAGCCAATAACATTTTACATATAAGACATACAGAAATTGAAAACATGTTTTGAATTCAGCCTTTTCTACGTTTGTGTTGTGTTTCCATTTGAAATGTTGTCTATATTGTCTGTTCGATGTGCTTAATGCGAGTTTTTTAGCGCTCTCAATAGCGTAAAAGTTAACTGAAATCTGTATACAGTTGGAACAGTGCCTCTAGCGACAAACGTAGGTAAACCTTCGAACTCCATACAAAATTGAGTTAACTTTTACACTATCGAGAACGTTAAAAAACTCGCACTAAGCACACTGCAATGTACTACTGTACATTAATCATACTTTTTTTATGATTGATGTATTACTGGTGGCCCGGAGGCCTTTCCAGTTTCGCCAGGACAGATGGGCGAGCAAGGCTCAGCCACGAGGGGTGGGATTTGCTAACAGCTAGCCGAGCGCCTCCTAAGAAAAGACCTAACAACTCAAGAGTAGCTACTTCGCGAATGAATCCACTACCTAATCGGAATCGCGACCCGCTGAGAAGATCCGGCGAGAAACTCAGTGGGCTGATGCATGGGTTAGGTTGCACGTCGAACTCTTTGCCAAGTTCGACGAGTACGGTTACCGGGATCCCTAAGCTTGCTTCTGGTGTTAGAGCTGAAGGTATCTTAAGCATACTGTTTTATTTCCAGTTACACGTGGAACAGACACGACCCCGAGGGCTCGTACCAGCGCAACGCCATGCTGCTTCGCTCCGGGCGCACGGGACTGAGCCCGCAGCAGATCAACACGCATCTAGCGCGCCTCGAGCACCTCCGCAACAAGCAGCTAGCGCGCGCCGCCCGCCGCCGCCGCCTGCAAGCGCACGCCGACGACTGGCTCGTCAACAAGCCGCCGCTGGCGCAAGCGCACGCGCGCACTTACACCGTGAACAACAACATCAGCGCTCTGCACCCCAAGACCATCGTGGAAGAGTTCGACATGCTGCTCCCGCCGGAGACCGCCCCCGCGCCTCATACCCCCGCGACCCCCTGATTCCTAGTAGACATAAGCTTTTATTTCCCGCTCGCTTTAACGATTACGCAACCTTCCCTTAACACGTCCGCGACGTTTCTCACTCTCTCTCTCTTCGAGTGACACAAACTCTTTACGTGTTAAGATCTACTGTGTTCTTCTTCTCTTCGCTATACAGAGTTGGCAGAACGCGACGAAAGTGTGATGTGACGTTTTGTATGTTTGTTTGTTTTTTTACAGTCAAATAATCACATAAAATAATTTCATCCGCTAAGCATCTCGTCATTCTCGTCCCGTGTCCGTTGAGTTTCGCGAAATTGTAAGCCCACGTCACACGATTGTGTTAGAATCGCGAGTCTCAGTCGCCTTGCTATGAGTGTATATACATTTGTCTATATTCGTTTTTCTATAACTTACAAGCTTATGATCCAGTGAGAGTTTTACTAGGATTATTTAGGTTTAGTTACCACTTTAATATTATGTTCAATGCATACTTTTTGATTGATTAAAACTATTAAAACAAATCTGAGTTACGACGGCAATCGCGTTCAATCTTCATTTAATAAAAAATGCAATGAATATTTTATAAAAAAGCCATATTTTATTTAAGTACATCTGTTTTGCTGCTCCTGTGAACAGAATCATCGAACATGTCTTATTATTGTTAATTAAATATTTATTTCCGTAGTGCGTCGCTCTAGTGTCTAATTATAAAAAAACTAGTCAGTAAGATTATTATGAAAATATATCATTGAAAATATATTATTCACTAAATTTTTACTAATAAATAAAAATTATATAATAATATAATCACGATTCTAATTACATATATTTTTTTGGATTTTAACTACACGTTCTTATTTTGTAATGGAATATTCTAGAATATTCTAAAACTTTTTATAAAAATTTACAAAAACAAACAATTTTATAAATTTGTCGTACGTAAAAATTGGCATTTTAAATTTATTTAAGATTAATAAATACTACGTAAGCTTCGTTCCAATTTTTTTTAATATTTAGTTTGACTATAATATTTATAATATATTAAAGAAATATATCAACTGCCAATACAAATAGTCCTCGCATTTATGAATTTCGTATAAGCGTCAAGAGATTCTACATTAAGAACTTAAGCGAAGACTACACGGTCAATCAATAGCGTCATTGGCGGATATAATGACGGGCGACTAACTTAAGCTGAACTTAAACTGTAACTTTACACAACTTAGCACAATCACTGCTTAGTTTACTATGGCGAAACTGTGAGTGCAACAAAACTTAACACAAGGTCGATGTTCAAATATTGACCCGAAAAAAAAAAACATTCTGAGCCATATTTGGTTACTGATGAGTGCAAAACTCGTGTGAACTGTGTCTCACACTGAAAATATTTGAGCTTAAGCAGTCGTTGCGATCAATGCGATATTTATTGAACGTGTAGCCTCCCCTTTAGCAATACTTGTACGTGTGTATTTTTAAAATAAATCATTAAAATAAATCAGTCAATCTCTTTATTTAATNAAAAAAAAAAACATTCTGAGCCATATTTGGTTACTGATGAGTGCAAAACTCGTGTGAACTGTGTCTCACACTGAAAATATTTGAGCTTAAGCAGTCGTTGCGATCAATGCGATATTTATTGAACGTGTAGCCTCCCCTTTAGCAATACTTGTACGTGTGTATTTTTAAAATAAATCATTAAAATAAATCAGTCAATCTCTTTATTTAATGTTATTTAGGTTCGATTGCTTTGAAATACATATTATATACTTTTTTTATTATATAATTTTGAAATCTTAACGTTATGGGCATGAGAATATTGAAATAAATAAAATAATCGGATACACAATTTAAAAAAAAAAGCCGGCATAAGGAAATTGAAATGTTTGCTTCATTTTAATTTCCACAAAAATTGTAATTCTTATATTTGCAATAGAGACATAAACCTCAAATTGCCGTTGCGGCATTTATGCCTACAGGCTCCGACAACCCCTTAACACCAGGTGGGCAAAAAGCTCGTCCACCGTTCTAAGCAAAAAATACATAAATACACTCTAAAACAGCCATAATGTGTCAAATATGTCTCATGCCTCTAACCTTAACTAATTAAAATTAGAACATCATTAAAAAAAAAAAACATTTAGTAATAAAATTTAGATTTCAAACGGACTAGTCTTAATAAATTCTTTACACCGTATCATAGATATTCGTATTATAATAATATTTCGATTTAAGTCAAATTGGAAACACTTAACCCTAAATTAATATTAACATATTTTTCTTAGGACACTTTTCGTTTTATATTTTAAGTATTAATATTGTACTTGATTGTAATTTATAAGCAAAATAAACATGTTTTTGAGCAAACCGATGTTTCATTCGCGTCATCCGAGTGCTGCCATCTAGCGTCGAGTAGCTGGGTATGCTTAAACTTATTTTTGATGTTTATTCTAAACTAAATTATTTAAAGAAGTTTATGAAAGTCGCCATTCAATAGAGGTTGGAGTCCCAAATTCATTGTCCTACCCCTAAGCCAATACATTTCATTGTTTCCCTATGAAATCAAGTAAGTGATAACGCCTGTCGGCACGGCGCTATAAAATGTTCTAACACAATATATTTATCAAGCACCGGTCATTGTTCTCGTCGAATCCGTCGCTTACAACGAAGGGCTCGATGAGTAAGTTAACACATAGACACAGCCCACTGAGTTTCTCGCCGAATCTTCTCAGTGGGTCGCGTTTCCGATCCGGTGGTAGATTCTGCGAAGCACGGCTCTTGCTAGGGTTCGTGTTATCAACATCGTCAGGTTTGAGCCCCGCAAGCTCACCTACTAGTTAAAGTTACGCTGAAATGGCCTCTCAAGGCTATCAGCTTAGGTACGTTAAAAATATATATTTAAGATAGGTATTGAGTATAAGATAGTAAATAGTTGTGGGTACTCCTGAAGCGCTCTGAGGAATTGTTTGAGATAATCCACTCGCCGCGCCCGCCCACCGGAGAAGAGGTCACTCACTGTGGGTAGGGTTCTATGGAACACTGCGTTCATCGACAGTGCGTTTCCAAAAATCTATTTATTCTTTCGAATGAACTTTCTACCCCAGTGCCATATCACAATGTCTTCCATGATTGATAGCGCCTTGACTTTTCCCCTGGTGTTGTTGACGTTAATGAGTTTGCGGTGACCATCGGGTGTGCTCATCTGACTATCAAAGCCAATTAAAATAAAACAAATGATAAGAATAGTTATCAGTATGTAAGTAACTTCAGGAGACGGTGCACACACGTGTATAACTAAAATCTTAGAAATCAATATCTCGATTAAAATTATTTGGCGACCCGGATTTGGGAGTCTTTGTTCTCGTCCCGTATTCGGTGGCCATGACACAGATTGTTTTATAATCTACTGGAACCGATAGACACCAACGTGAATACCACCGTCCATTTTAGGACATGAGGTCCAGTCTTAAATTTATTATAGAACTGTCCCACCCTCCGAACCGGAACGCTTTTTTTACAATAAAATCATTTTTTCTTACACTATTTTTAATTCAAATTTATCAAAATTTATTTCAAGTTTTTTAGTTGGATTTTCTATAATAGTGTTTTTTTTGTTTTTTTAATCTATTATTTATTTTAAATTTTTTGGTTGAATATCAATTTTTTCAATTTTTTTCTAAGTATTGTATTGTCATCGGTCCTTAATAAGTATGCCAAATTTCGAGTTAATCCGACGTTTTGAAGGGGGTCAAAATCATGTTCAAAAATTCCGTTATATACATACGTCTGAAGCTAATAAAAGCGTATTAAAAATAGTAGCTGTTTGTCAGATTTTGCACCGGATATAGTTGCATCGCTCGATAGAAGTACACCAGGCGTTTTAACCTTTAAGCCAAGAACGCTACGGAATAATTTTCTTCTTGGGAATGTCTTTCACTGACCGCGGGAAATTGCCCGTTGGACTGACGGCCCAAATGTTAATGTTCGGTCCGGGAATCGGGTCAAACTAATTTTTTAAGTTTTGGTGTATATTTTGCAATGAACTATGTATAATAATGGTGCATCGTTAATGTAAAAAAATTTAACCTCCGGAACCATTTTACTCTCAATTTTATTGCTATTATCCTAACAGCCGTTGAAATTTTATGTTGGAATTGAAAAGTGTCCCGATTCTCCTTAATCTACGGTACTTGTTTTTCTTTTTTGTTTTTTCTACCTATGCTGATAGCCTTGAGAGGCTATTTCAGCTTCTCCTTGACGTGTAGGTGAGCTCTCAAACCGGGAGTTTGCTAACACGGGCCCTAGCAAGAGCAGTGCTTCGCAGAATCTACCACCGGATCGGAAACGCGACCCACTGAGAACATCCGGCGAAAAACTCAGTGGTACTTGTATATAAGCAAACTTATTTTAAAATAATCATTAGCGCCATTCAGACTTCTGTCAAATACCTTGTATTGTATGTTAGGTAGCGCTACACCTCTTCGACTCATAATAATAACGGGCCATGCTTTACTACAGATGGTAAAAAGATGGTGGGCCCTATACACTGTATAAAACATTACCGCTATCTATACCTACCTAAGTATATTAATACGTAAAGCAAAAACTTTGTACCCCTTTTTACGAAAATTGCGAGGACGGAGGAGTAGGTATGAAATTTCCCACACTTATAAAGAATATAGAGAGAGAGTGCAGTGCTAATTTTTTTTTAAATTATTTGTTAAAAATACTTTAAATCAATAAAAAAACATTACACACAATACCATGTATTTGACACACACACATACATATATATACTCTTTGTTTATTGTCAAACTTTTGTTAGTGCTTAAAGTCTGTGGTCAAATTGAGAATAGGATAACATTGTTTATCTTTAATATTATTTGCCTGTAGTCTATAGTTTAGTCTTGGCGAAATCTATGATTATAGAAATATAATAGTCTTTGACAATAGACAAAAGAACCATAATAATGTTCAAACTTATTATAGTCGAATTTCGACTAGTGCGGGACCACTAGTTCTTATAAATTTCTGATGCAAAACAAATCATGCACTCTAGCTTGTAGTGTAGTTTTCTAATTGAGCTAATCTACTCAAAGAACGCCAATAAAAATGTTAATCAACACATTCCTTTTCACTTTAACCGCGCGAGGGCTAGCTTGAATCCGCAAAAGATCAACGACCCATTGACCGGAGTCATTTCCATCTAGATGAACCGATACCGTCGCCATGGTGACCGGCGTAACAAACAATATCACCACATACACCAAACGCGCTTGTATACAGCGTCAGAAACAAAAGAATTATATTTTTACAAGTATGTAATTTCATAACATATAACAATTAATGTTTTCTATATTAGGGACGTGTAGTTTTTACTTAGGGGATGTTTAGTAATATATTAATGTTACACGACAAGAAAGAACTCAAAATGTTTGCTTCTTCTTAAAGTACTATAATTAATTCACCTTTTAAACGCTGTTTTGAGACTGGATGCATATTATATATAGTTTTTGCCACGTATCATCCGGCTATGGAATGAGCTCCCTTACACGGTGGTTTCCGAGCACTATGACATGTCCTTCTTCAAACGAGGCTTGTGGAGAGTATTAAGCGGTAGGCAGCGGCTTGGCTCTGCCCCTGGCATTGCTGAAGCCCATGGGCGACGGTAACCACTCGCCAGCAGGTGGGCCGTGTGCTCGTCTGCATACAAAAGCAATAAAAAAAGAGTTTCTGTAAAGGATG